TTTTTTTTCTCTGATTTGTTCCAGGATTAACAAACTGAGCAGAAAAACATTCAGACACCGTGACCACAGAGTCAAACCTTACAACAGGTGTGTATACACTGTCTGTATAGACGTGTATTTTAAAAAAGGGGGTGAAATGATTACAAATGTTCTAAGACTGACCGTTTTACACCTCCAGAGCTACGCCAAAGCACCGTGTGAGTGCAGAAGCAGGGCCGCCAGGAATAACGCACAATACAAGGTAAGCATGGGCATATATAAATAAAATAAATTAAAAAAAGAGGCACGCTTATTCTGTTTGAAACGGCTAGAGGCATACATAAAATGTTTTAACACGTGTCTATCTTCACAGACTGCAGTTCTTCCTGTGTTGAACCGTTCTTCAACAAACCAGCAACACCCGCGAGTGAGTGGCTGCCTCGTGATTTCAGTCATGACTTTGAGTGCATCAGATTTCGATCTAGGTCACATACCCACCACACCAGAATGTATCCGAAGTAGCGACGATTCACACATAGATTTTGAAGAAGGTGGCAGAACACACTCTCAAATATCAGCGGCGTGTGGCGCTTGCATGAACGTTGCAGACGCACAGCCTGCTGAACAGAGTCATACAGATCAAATACTTGATAAATTACGGTCGATTGAAGCTAAACTCGACCAACACCACCAAGCCTGTACGGCACACATGCAAGAAATAACCGAGGCTCTAACTGGGATTACAAGCAAAATGTGTACTGTATTAGACATGCTCACCAGAAGTCTAATGCATGATCTGACTTTTAAAACCCAGACCATGGACCCTCCTAATAAATTATTTAAACGTAATGACGGTACCGCCACTCCTGCTAGACGGGATGACTTTGAGGCTTTTAAACGGTGGTGTGAAGAAACAAACAAGAAATTTGACAATATTCTTGCAAGACTTAATAGTATGCCTGCATCAACATCTGCAACATCTACAAAACCTTGTCCAACTCATTCTGAGCCTGTTGTTACTGATGCTAACTGTACAGACGCTGCTGCTGCTGGTGATTTCTGATGCACAACCTAGCGGGGTTACCTCTGCTGCTGCTGTTGCTATTGAGACTGTTACTGCTTCTGCTAATGCTTTTGCCTCACCAGCTCACAGCTGTGCACCCGTCACACTTAGAAGTCAAAGTACACATTAGCCATACTTAGAAAAAACATGTTTTATTTCATTTAGAAGTGAGATTCTAAGTTGTAAGAAGAAATCTTATGCTCAGCCAGGAGCTCACTTTCACAATGCTGAGGTATCAAATCCATGATCCAACAGATGGTTTGTCACA